GCATGAGTTTGCGGGATATCCCGAACTCCTGTCCCAGTTCTGAAGACTTGACCCAGACTCTGTCCCCAACCTGAAATGTAGAAGGGCGGCGGTGTTTATTCTCAGATTCTATCATTGCTGCCTGCGCCTTCTGCATGTGCTCTACAGCCTCCTGCATTTTCTGTTCGTAACGATAAGCGAACTCCAAAGTGCCCGGTGTAACAGTTGGCTGGTTATCAGGAAGTAGGAAGTCTAAAGGCAGTCTAGGCCTAAAGGTAAGATGTAGACTGTTAGGACTTACCCCGGTAGCGTTGTGTACAACGTTATTGTACAGACTGGAGACAAGAGCAAGCTTCTCGTCCCAATCGACCTGATTGGGCTTAATGTAATGCCTCAACAGGTGTTGAACAACGCGGTTCATCTGTTCAGCCTGGCCGTTTGCTTCTGGATGGTTTCCAGAAGTCATTTGCAGTTGAGTTCCTTGTTCAGCTGCAACGGTCTTCCATAATTCACTTATAAATCTGACATCCCTGTCACTTACAATAGACTTAGGCAATCCAAAATCCCTCACCCAGTTCTCTTTGAACAACCTGATTACATACTCGGTCTTCGTTGTTTCCGGCATGGCTATTAACCTAGCATACTTACTAAACCTATCCACGATGACGAAGATCCGTCTCATCCCACTCTTGCTGGTGACCAGCGTATCCATGAAGTCCATGGACAAGCTTTCACCTGGCCTTTCCGGAATCGGAAGGGGCTTGAGCAGCCCAAGAGGAGCCTGAGTACGGGGCTTGTCCCGTTGACAAACTTGACAAGTCTCCACGTACAGCTCTGCATCTCGCATCATCGTGGGCCACCAGAATCGCTGCAGCAAGTTGGCTGCGGTCTTCTTATACCCGAAATGACCGGTGGCATCATGACACTCACCTAGAAACAAACTACGCAAAGACTCATTATTGGGAAAACACAATCGTTTATTCCCTGCCTTCTCAAGAAACAGCAAGCCATTAACCAACTCAAACTCGGCGGACGTCTTCTTGTCCTTCGCCTCAAGTCTGCGTCTGATCTCAGACATAAACTGGTCCTCGTGATAGGCTTCCACCAAAGATTGAGTAACATTGTCTGTGAGACTGAACTCAGTAATCAGCGCACCTGAGAAGTCTGGTCTGCGCGACAGGGCGTCAGCAACCTTGTTATACTCCCCTTTTAGATACTGAGGGTCAAAGTCATATTGCTCAATGACTTTGATCCACTGCTTGAGAGCGTCAGAGAGTACCGGCTAGGTTCTCATCCATTTCAGGGTCTGATGATCAGTTCTGAGGATGAAGAACCTCCCAAGGAGATAGTGTCTCCAATGGGTGAGAGCCTTRTACACCGCATAGAGTTCCTTCTCATAAGTGGACTTAGCCAACTTCTGAGACRRCRTTTTCTTMGACATGTACTCAACTGGCCTCAACTTTGGYCCCTCCTGCTGCGCGAKCACRRCGCCAATGCCGTATTGGYTGGCATCCGTGGTGACTATGAACGGCTTGTCAGGATCAGGAAGTTTCAAGACTTCATAGTGCGTTAATGCATGCTTCAGATGTCTGAAAGCAGCCTCACACTTATCTGCCCACTCCCATGGGGTGTCAAGGCGGGTGAGATCAGTCAAAGGAGCGGCCACTATGCTATAGTTCTTCACGAAAGGTTTATAATAGTCTGTCATTCCTAAGAAAGATCTCATCTTAGTCACATACTGAGGACGTGGCCAATCGCGAATGCTGGCCACCTTCGCGTCATCGGGCTTCAACCCTTCCGCGGAGATCTCATGACCCAAGTACAAGATACGGGTGCGGCCAAACTCRCACTTTTCACCGTTGATCTTGAACTTGTGYTGTCGCAGGAGACTGAGAACTTTGTCTAAGTGTGCTACGTGCTCCTCGAMAGTCTTACTAAAAATAAGTATATCATCGAGGTACACGACGACAAACTTATCCAAGTAGTCATGGAATATCCGATTCATAGCGTGCTGAAAGG